ATTGCCCTGTTGCAGATTAAAATATTCCTAATACAGCTGATATACTCTGGTTGTATTGTCTTGACCAGAATACAACTTCTTAGCATGGTCCCACACATCTTTGGCAGTGTCAAGAAACATGAAATTTACACTGATCTTGGGTTCCATACTGTTCCATAACCATGTGATAATTTGTGTATCCTCTTGTTCCCAGTCTTCATACTCATGAGAGTCAGTGGAGGGTTTCTCCTCCCTTATGTGTTTCACCTTCTTCTTTGGCTTCAGAAAAACTTCTACAGATTTAGCCCAAGGTATATAATTCTCTCCATTCAGTTTGATGGAGGTCATTTGAACATTCAGGTAGTCAATAGGTATCATCACATTAGATTTGCTATCACTGTTATCTCCCATTGCTGAATTATGTTATTACTGAATTCGGCACACTGCACACTACTTGATCACACTGGTTTCAGCACTTGTTATTGCTGAAGGTTGCACTCTTTACACCACAAACCCTACCCTATGACTACTTGAAATCTCACCACTATATGAGAACCACTCCCCCTTCGAATCACACAAAAAACAGCATAAACCCATCATACGATCTGAAACATACTTCATATTTGATTCATAACAAAAGTATGCATAGAAATCTCTTACCTCATCACCCGAAAAACAAACCACACAAGAAGAAAATCAGTCCACACAAGACACCCACTGCACCACACGAATCAGCCCTCTTCTCTTCATCGATTAGGGGAGGGCTTTTTAGAAACCATAGCAGCCGACCATGAACAGCACAATTGGAGGCATAGAAACCTCCAAGGGAAGAGGATGACCACTCCTTTTCAGCCCTTTCCCTTATCTCTAATCGATGGCAGAGAAATCAAGAGAAAACCCTAGATTGAGTGCGTAGAAAACAGAAATCTGGGCAGATCCGATTTGCTTAGTTTATCTCTGATACCATGTTATAATTTGGCCTGCCTTTAAGTTCTGTTAGTCTGATAGCAGCCAAGAAGAGAGAAGAAGAAAGAAGAAAGAAGAAAGAAAGAGAGAGAGAAAGGAGGGAAAAGGAGAGAAGAAAAGTCTGGTTCGAATAAGGGAAAAAAAATTACTTCTCCCATTCGGCCAGACACGTTTTATATTACTAACATAATGGAAAAGACACATGTGCCCTTACTTAAGTGAGGGACACTAGTTCTAATATAATATTACAGATCAGCAACCTCAACATAAGTATAAAGACAGAAATACCCCTACACTAACAATTTCTATAGATGAAGGAAGGGTGTGAGGATTGCATAGGGTAAGGGGTTTTTGGGTGGTCTGCCTGATTGGCTTTGGAAAGATGGGAGATAAGTCTTTTGAAGGGACTATGCCTTTTCTTTTGGGTTTTGCAAATGGGAGGTTTTTGAGTTTGTGTTTTGATTTAGTTGAGCTTTATTGATTTCAGGGAGGTTGGGTTTGATTATGGGGCCTTTGGGTGATTCCTTGCCACCTGTTGTATTATCTGTCGTTTCCTTTAATAAAATTTTCTTCTTTATTTATCTTAAAAAAAAATATTCTTTCTTAATTATTGCTTTACACCACAAACCATGCTCTGCTAAGGTGTTAAGGTGTTGCCTTAGCACTTTGGCAGCTTGTACTCCATTTTCTTTTTTAATAAAATTTTTCTATTTTTATTAAAAAAATGGGAATACTAGAGACATAACCTTGTAACTCTCCCCTTTTCCCAAACTTTCTATCCAATGAAAAATTTATTACTCTATATCTAAATAGTATTGAACCTATTCCATTATGGAATTGAGGGGAAACACTGGTTTTGTATTATGCTGGGTGTCTAGTGGTAAAGGTGAGGGGCCATTGCTTGGTGCAATGATGTAATCTTAGGAGTTGCAGGTGGAGTACTCCATCAAGTATGAGCAGTTTATTTATTACAAATACCATTTATCCTGCATGCAAGAGTGGAAAGGTTATGTGGAAATGTGTTAGAGGCACAAGGGGGCAAGAACTACAAGTATATTCTAGAAGGAGAAGAAGGCCACCTCATTATAAGGAAGCCAGTGCAAAGACAGATGGAATTAACTGAATCAACTTGGAGTTAACTAAATCAAACAAGTTGGCAAGTTGTTACAATTCTATTGTAAATCAGTTAAGGCCACCTCAGCATAAGGAAGCTAGTGCAAAGACAGCTGGAGTTAACTGAATGAAACAAGTTGGCAATTTGTTATAATTCTGTTGTAAATCAGTTACATTGAAGTCAAGATTGAATATAAATACAGAGGTGTACTTACAATAAGGAGGTAATAAGAAGATTTGATCTCTTTCTGTCTTCACTCTCACTTTCCCCTATTCTGGAGGTTATCCTCCCTCGAAGAGGATCTGAAGTGGGCAGCTACCCAACAAAATGTAGGGCAGCAGTTACTTGGACTATATGGCAGGAGAGAAATGTTTTACTTTAAGTCTCTTAACACAAATGTTTTACTTAACTATAAAAAAAACGAAGGATTAAATACAAAATTAATCTTATGGACAAATGTCTTGACACAAGAGATTTTAAAGTAAGTTGGACTAAAATAGAATATATGATATGTAAATTTAATAATAATAGAAGACCTCTGCAGGATGTAGTGAGCCTCTTCAGCCCAAGTTTCCTGAGACAACCAAGAAAGAGAGGAAGAATTATGTGGAAAGCAATTCAGACTGTAGTAGTGTGGACCATTTGGGAGGAAAGAAATGAGATGATCTTTAATGGGAAAAGTAGATCGAAAGAGGAAATTTGTGAAGTTATAAAAATCAGAGCTGCACATTGGCTAAAGACATTTGACATTTTCAAAAACCTTTCAGTGAATGATATCTTAAGGGCATGGACTGAAGTGGTATTGGTGGTTATGGGGTGCTTACCCCCATTAGCTAATAAAGTAGAACTAAATTTTGATGGGAGCTCCATGGAAAGCACTGGACTTGCAGGTATTGGAGGAGTATTTAGAGATTGTACAGGGAAAGTGTTGGCTATGTTTTCAGGACCTTTGGGGTTTGGAGATCCACTAAAGGCTGAACTGATTGCGCTGCTGTAAGGCTTAAGACTTGCTAAACAATCAAGTTTTCAGCACTTGGAAGTAGAAGGAGAGTCAGCGCTGATTATTTCTTGGGCCATGAATAAACAGCTTGTGCCATCCATGGGTATATAGACATGATTTTAGGGAAATAAAGAGCATCAGACGGGAGCTGAACATTACATTCAATTGGGCAAGGACTGCAAATGGAATGGATGATGCTCTAGCAAAACAAGGGGTATATAGGAAACAGTTGTTTTGGGCGCTATTGTAACCTTTGTAACTTTGTTGGGGATTGGAACTGTTTCTTAGGGGTGGCTAAACTCCTCATTGTAGTAACCAGATTCATCATCACTTGATAAAATTCTTAAATTTCTTGGTGATAAAAAAAATTAATAATAATAGGAGTGCAAATCAGGGTACGCTTATGATTGAAGGCCAAGAGATAACTCAATGCGACATTTTTTGGTACTTTGGTTTGGTAATTCATAACAAGGGAGAGATTGAGGAGGATGTTGCCTATAGAATTAGAGCAGGATGAGCAAAAGAGAGGGGTGCATCCAGAGTTTTATGTGATAGCTGAATTCACTTAGATTAAAAGGAAAATCCTATAAAATGGTTGTAAGGCTAGCTATGCTGTATGGAGCAGAGTATTGGGAAATCAAGAAATGACATGTCCAAAAAATGAATGTGGCATAAATGCATATGCTGAGGTGGATGAGTACAAAAACTAGAAAGCATAGGAACAGAAACGAAGTCATTCGCAGGAATCTAGTAGTAGCTCCAATAGGTGATAAAATGAGAGAAAGTAGACTAAGATGGTTTGATCATGTGCATAGAAGACTGCCAACAGCACCTGTAAGGAGTGATTTGTTGCATGTTGAAGGGGCTAGAAGGGCTAGGGGTAGACCAGAAAGGACATGGATATAAGTAGTAAGAAATGATTTAATTGCCAATAATTGAACAATTGATATGGCATTAAATAGAATGGAATGGTGAAACAGGATTCGTGTAGCCACCCCCATATAGTTATCTTATTTCAAGCATTTGTCAAAAAACTATTAACTTGAATCGCGTATTGATGGATCTATATCATGTAATGTTCTTTTGTGATTGACCTTGTTCTTTTTAAAGTTTCATTGTTTTTCTTGTCTGCTTATAAGCTTGTCTTTATAATCACGTATTATGGATAATCTGGCTCACAGGTTCACCCAAATGTTCCATGCATGTTATTCACACCAATATGTCCACACTCCCTCTCATTTAGGCCTGTCATACTTCCAGATTCTGCACGGATTGAATTAAAGGTAAGGCATATGTACCTCTGAGCAACAATTACTAATTAAAAGAAATGAGAAAAAAGTGACTGTTATCCATGTCACTTGGGTCATGGTCATTGCTAGAATGGTTCTATTAGAATATTCTATGAATCAAAACTTTATTGTATAACTCATGCTCCATTTTTTTATTAGTTACTGTGAGCTTTATTATAAAATGGAAATAAGAACATAAAGTTGTTATTGCTTTCTCAGTGGATGTACCAGCAAGTATGTCAAAGATAAGGAGGCAAACTAGAATCAGTGGATGTAGTTCCAACTGACCTGGAATCTAATCCTTCCTAGGCAAAAAAAAGGAGGCATACTACATCCATGAAAGTTCCTAGTGTTCATGATATTTGTGGTTTGATGATGGCATGGTATGAAACTAGAGGGTGATTATATGCAAAATTTTATCCATGAAAAGATTCTTTGTAAACAAGAGATTTTAAGAGAAGTAGGACTACAACAGAATATATGCAGTGTAAATTTAATGATAATAGTAGGAATCAGGGTACAATTAGGATTAAAGACCAAGAATACCTCTGCCATATGACCTTTTTCCTTACCTTGGTTTGACAATTCATGGCAAGTGAGAGATTGAGGAGAGCATTATTCATAGAATAAAAACAAAAAGGTCCAAGTGGAGGAGTGCATTTGGACTACTATGTGATAGGAGAATACCACCAAGGTTAAAAGAAAAAAAATATAAAATGGCAGAATGGCTTTAAGTCCAGCACTGTCATATGGAGTATGAGGGTTGGACAGTCAAGAAACAACATTTCCAAAAAATGTTGTGAACATTGAGATGGGTGAGTGGAAAGACTAGAAAAGATACAATGAGAAACTAGCATATTTTTAGGAATGTAGGATCAGGCTTAATAGGTGAAAGAATGAGGGGAAGTAGAACAAGATGGTTTGGTGACATGTAAAGAAGACCACGTACAGCATTGGTAAGAAGCAGTGACCTGTTGCAATTTGCAAGTTGCTGGGTTAGAAGATCCAGGAGCATGCCAAAAGGAATGGGTTGTGTTTGCAAACCTGCAGCAGTGTTTAGAGAAAAAGAAAGAGGAAACAGAGAGGAGAGAAGAGAGTGAATGGGTGACAAGTCTGTTGTCAGCCAGCTCTAAAACAGTATTTATATTAAGTGGCTAATAATACATAAAAAGACTGGTCTGCCCCTGATTAGCGATGGGACACTTAGACAAAAAAATAAGAAAGCTAATTCAGGCCCAATAATTATTCCTTGATGTTTATCAGAAAAAAAAAAGAAAAAGAAAAAGACCACATGATTTGAGGGCCCATTGTTTAACAAGGGATATGACAGTAGAGCAATATGTCAGAACAGGTTCATGTAACCTACTTCATATAGTTAGGGCAAGGTTTTATTGATTTCAGTTGGGTTGACTACCATATGACGAGGAGCTTTTTTTTTTCATTTTCCCTCTTGAGAGCAACATTAGATTTTCTTTTTTTTTTTTTTTTGGATTGGAGTTCATGATTTTGAGTATACACCAGTAAGCTTCCTTCATAATGGAAAAACAGGACTAAAATCTTTAATATCTCCAAGGATACTACCTACTACCTAGACACAAATAGAACCTCCTACAGAGTCATATGCATTAATAGACAAATTGCCTTCTACTGGAGGTGTGCAAAAGCATCAACACTGTTGCAAAAGGAAATATATGGCCCTTGGTATCTTATATACCATGTTAGAAATGCTTGATTTGTAGTTTTCTAAGTGAATATCTTGTTCAGATGGATTCTGATTTCTACAAATCTGCAGCTGATGGGTTGTATTCCTGAATACTTCATATTTTTGTCCATTCATTCCTTGGTGAAATAGATGATTGTTTTTCCTCTCCTTTTTATTTAATTGTAATTTCTTCAGTATCAATTACCAAAGAAAAAATTTTCAGCCAAAATATACAAAAGGCTATGTAATTTATTTGCAATCTCCTGCTAGCCTTGTAGAGCTGGTATTCTCAGGGGGAGGTTCAAGATTTACAGCAGGGATGATCATGGGCTAGGCTGAGCATTCAGGGTTGCCCATATAAATTCATCATCATCATCATCCAAGTGCAATCCCAACTATATGGGGTTGGCTACATGAACCCTGTTTTGCCATTTCATTCCATTTAAATTTTTAAAGAAATTAAGATTTTAATGGAAGTTTATAAGCATTCACTTGGACATTTGCTATATTTTTGGACCTTAAAACTGCCTATTGCATGCATCGGCATTATCCATTAACTTGTACATATCAAGGGAGGAAAGTTAGAAAGCTAAATCTTCTTATGTAGCAGGAACTTCTAAGTGAATTCATAAATTCCTAAGTTGTTTGTCCTGAATTCCTGGACAATTTTTAAATGTCACCAGCAAGAAACTCTGAAAATCTCTTTTGTATTCCTTTTTTAATCTGTTAGGGATCCAGGTACAAACCCAAGTGTATATATATGTATTTCCTTTTGTGATTGATTTGCTTCCATACATCAGCTTGCTTATAACGTGATGCTAAATGGTACCGGCACACTCCTCAATTTTGTCTTCTGTGTAAAGTAACTGGGGGAGTGGAGCAACTTGGCAGTTGGGACATGCTCCTTGAGTGACTTGAGCTACTGTGACAATATTAAACATTTTGTTCTAATGATTGCTTATATTGTCAGCCAATTGTATTGCAGAAGGCTTGGCTATATTAAGGGTTTATATAGATGGTTTTATTTTAGGGCATTCCTCTTTAGTGATTCATTTTGAATGGCCATTTCTGCCCGACACCCTTCTATGGGCTGTGTAAACCTCTTTCTAAACCTACATAATGGGGCATGTACTGTACATTCTATCCACTAGAGGGATGGGGTACAAAGGGAAATAAGATAAATTGTAAGGATTTTAAGTGAAAAGGATAAATTTGAGAGTTGATGACGGGGATACTCGTACATACATTCATGTAGCTATGTATGTAAATATACATATGAAATTAACAACTCAAGTTGTGTAAGATTTTTGTAGCATTCATTCTTGTCGTCTTGGAATATTTTCCAAGTCTTTTTCTCTAACTATTCTGCATTTTGGAATTCAATAGATCCCAGAGGATGCACGGAGTAATGCATGGGTTTCATTTGATGGTAAGAGAAGGCAGCAACTCTCAAGAGGAGACTCTGTCCAAATATATATGAGCAAGCACCCTCTACCTACAATCAACAAATCTGATCAAACAGGTGATTGGTTCCGCAGCTTGATCCGCTGTTTGAATTGGAATGAGAGGAAGGATCAGAAGGCCCTTTAAAGGTTTCATGACTTGAAAAAAAAAGAAGCTTACTCTCTACTGCCCTCAGTTAATTGTAAATTTCTGTACAGAATATAAATTTACCTCACAAATGATATGCATAGGTTACAAACAGAAATTGGTATTCATTCCTTTACTGGCTTACACAGAATGATAGCCTAACCCAATTCTTCATAGTTCATACTGTAAAATGTATTCAGATACTGCCTTAGTGTAATAAAGCTCCAATTTTATGCCTTTTTTATGTATCCACGGTGTGTATGGTGTTTTACTTGAGTAATCTATGTAGACCATCCATATGTTCCAACTATTTTGAGTTTGAACTTTGCACTGTATTACGCCAGTTATGTGAGCTTGTACTTTGCATTGTAATATGTTGAAGCAGATGCAGGAAACTTCCAATATGTTTTAAAATGGGATCATTTTGGTTGTTTCCATCATTATCCTTACCTTTATTTTATTTCATTTGGAGAAAAAAATGCCAGAGACCAATCCTACATTCCTACCACCAAACATGGTTGTCAAATTGCCCCACAAAGAAAGAAGAAAAACTGTAATAATAGGTTAGTTCCTTAGTTTAACATGGCATCCAGCAAACATCTAAATTGATTTTCATATCAGAGTAAAGTAAATCATCATAAATTAATGGCATTTTATCTCTATTAATTTCAATGGTTCCAACAGAATATTGCATGACAGAAGGTAATAGCATTTTCAATCTCTTCAGCTGCCAACCCTTGCCAATGACCCAGTAACTGAGATGGCCATTCGACCAGCCCTCTAAATATGGAGGCATGGGATCAAACCTGTGTCAACTGCAGACTCTCCGTGGTAAGGTCAATGGGCCTCACATGCACTCTGCTCCGTGTGGCTGTCCCCACCCATCCCCTGTAATGTGTAATATGTAATACCAAAATAAAACCCACCAACGTAGAAAGTATCAGGTCAATGGTTCCTTCCTTCATTGCACGAAAGGAAAAGAAAGGACTTGCTATGACAGGAGATTGTGTCTACAAGTTAATAGAAGTAAATAGGCATGTTCTACATTTATGACTAATAAATGGAAAACAAACTACAAAAAGAAAGATACACGGACCCTGTTTTTCTATTGGTTTACTGTCAAATGTTCGTGGAAGAAGAAATCAAGACAGGAAAAGAAAATGATTAATAAAGGCTTGGTTTGTTTTGTTGAATCTATTGGCTCCCACCTTCCCAATCTCCCCTCTCTAATTTTGTAAGTTGTAACCTTGGAAACAAAACAAAATAAGGAATTATCAGTAAAGCATACCATATGATACTGTGTGGTGTGGCCAATGGTACAATTTATATGCATGATTACATGGTTGCCTGGTGCCCGCCTAGCAATCAAAGACTAGGCATTAAGGCAGGTACTATATCAAAACATACTTCTACCCACCGAAGTGCCTAGGCCAAAGCACCACTCTTCAACTCAACTCCATCAAGCTTTGTCCCAACTATACTGCGTTGATTACATGAATTTCGTGCCATTCCTTGTATTTAACGCAATAAATTAGAGTTTGACAAAGAATTTTAACACCGGTGCTAACCTGACAACCCCTCGGCTTGAGATTGGTTGTGTAGGATAAGCTCAATAGTGATAGAGTTGGATGTGATGTCGGCAACTAATGAACTTTCTTTTAATTAATACAGTCATTTTAGCGGGTGTAGGACAAGAGCTCTTGCCGCTGAGACGCTGATCTTTATACTTTTGTCTCTTCACAATAAAAAAAAAAAAAAATGCAAGGAAATAAAAATTCTTTTGCCCTAGCTGCCAAGAAAGCAGGGATGTAACAGGATACCAGATGAACATAAATTCGTGTATCTTACAACAACCCAAAAATAGTAATAATAATAAAGAAAAAAAAGAATCCCTACATCATTGACTCTGAGCAGGTTTCATGAACTCTTCTTATTGAATGATGGGTTCCTTCTCCATTCAGGTTTCGGTCTCCCTTTACAAGGAAAAGTGACATCTCAAGGACAAGGAGGCTCCTCATATTTCTCTGAAAATGAGTGGACACTCTCAAGGAAAAGTGACATTCAGGTTTCGGTCTCCCTTCCAGTGGGTTTTCCATGTTTTGACAATATTGCCATAATCTCCCCATGTTTCTAGGTTTTATATTTCTACCCCTATAATTTCATTTGCATCCAGCAGCATCAAATATACAGGTCAAGAAGATATAACCCCGGTTTATCTGTGACCAGGAATTCAGCTTATATCAATGGAAAATTAGTGCATTTCATTTATTGTAAATAATATACAAAAAAGCTTCATTGAAAGTACATCTGATGCACACACTCTACTACTCTAGACTTGGGAAGCCTTTGGAAATTTTGGACCAGAGTTTTATGTAGATCACTACCTAGCTACAGCAGTACAGCACCGTGAGTCGTTATTGTAAAAAAGGATTTCTGCAAACTCATCCATGTCTTACATGGCTCCTACAGCTTGGAATCTGGGATCTTTGGGGAGAAACTTCTGCTTGGCATAAATAGACATGTAGTCACCAAACACAAACTTTGGGTAAGCTTTTTCAGCCTCCTTGATCACTGGGTCCATTAGTTCTGGTGCAGGAGCTATTGTGGCCTTCAGAGATGGGTTGTAGAAGGTGGCTATCGATCTTCGGTTGCTATCTGGGGTTGCCTGCACACGGTGCCAGACACTCTTGTATCGACCATTACTTAGAACCTCGATCTGATCTCCTGTGTTGATGACTATGGAGTTGGGCAGTGGCTGAACATCAATCCATTCTCCATTCTTCAAGATTTGCAGGCCTTTCACCTTGTCATCCTGGAAGAGTAGGACGACACCCCCAGCATCTGTGTGGGCTCGAAGACCGTTTACCATCTCTGGATGAGGACAAGGTGGATAGTGGCTTACTTTGGTGCCAAATAACGCCTGGTTCTCCAGTCCCTCTCCACCATTGAATGTCTTCTTAATGTATCCTCTGGGTAAGCCTAGATTCTCATCCATTACCTCCATCACCTTCTCAGCCAATTTCTTCAATTCATGTCGATATTCTGTCATTGTTTCCCTGCAGTAATCAACATACAATAACAAAATCAAGTTCCACTAGTAAAACTATGTAGCAGAGGCTTAACTCTATCACTATCAGATATGTAATTTGATCTGTTTGGAGCTGAATATCAGCTATGCTCCAGCTAGCCTTACTTGAACTCTGGGTGTTTGCACGGCCATTCACTATCTTCATCAGTAAGAGTGAATACATCCTCCCAGTCCACATTTTCCAGCTTCTCGCTGCTCTGGACCTGCACCAAGTCGTTTAACAACTTCACAGGCGTTGAGCTATTAAACCCTTCTTCCCTTTCCAGCTTGTAGCACTCGGAGCAGATCCTCTTCACCCTCTCCAGGAGCTCCACCGGAACTCCATGGTTCACCAACTACAACAAACAACTCAACCTTGTCACATAGGACATCTATGTGCTTACAGTAATTAGAATATTTTTACTCAACAACTAATGACTATTATACCTGGAAAAATCCCCATTCTTCACATCCATCAGCTATCTGAGCCATTGTTTTAGCCCTCTCCTCTCCATCGAGTTTGGAAAAGTCGATCACCGGAATCGTCATTAGAACCAGTTGAAACTGTATAATGCAAATTACAGGGGTACAAACCAAAAACAAAATTAGGAACAGAGAGAGAGAGAGAGAGAGAGAGAGAGAGAGAATTACCAGTTAGGGAACTAGGTAGCCTTCCTTATATAACAAAATTTACGCGCCACCTCGGTGTCAAACTCTTTATTATTTTATCTTTAATTAATGCCACTGTTTTGGGCGGTGTAATTTTGATTAATTAATACCCAAGTTCAATGTTTCTATGGAACCCACACGCCATAAACACTAAAGTCTCTTCAGGTGATAATCATCTCTCTCTCTCACATTTTGACATTCACATGGCTTTCTTTTGAATAGTTCCAAGAAATGGCAACTTAACAAAATGAAGTGATGACCCAGAAGCATAGACTTGAGGATTAAGCAAGGCATGAAGGAGACTTAAAGGTATCTGTGCTAAAAGCTATTATTTTTTTAACATGTTGTCAACTGCATTGAATAACAATAGTATCATCATTTTCGTAGAGAGGAATGAGTTTGTAATATAGAATTGCAAGATTACAGAAAAAGGTACACAGTACATCCACTTGGATTGCGCTGGTTATCCTGTAAATTTGGAATACAGATTCGCAAGAAATTTAAAAAACCAGCAATTCAGCAAACCTAGCCTAACTTCGTTGATATATATGCTTCTGGGTCAATAGATCCAACTGACTATTGGACTGACGAGTGATGATTTTCATAACTAAGAGGGACCCATGAAAGGAAAGGACATGCCCAGGTTGTGTGCTTTTATGGGTTTCACTTCTCACCATGAAGTTTCCAATTAACCCAGAGTTACATAACTCACTGTTCATTTGCATTCCTTTGAAAATTCTCTAGTTAATACTATTATCATTTCTTTCTCTCTCCAATCTTCTTTTTTTAGTAACATGGGTTTATGAGGATGTTCATGATATGTTCAAGACTCAATGACCAATTCAAAGCAGAAAAGTTATTGAAGGGTTGAAAAGAACATGGGTTTGGGTTTCAATTTTCAAGGTTGCAGGGACCATGTGATTGGGGGGTGGGGTGGGGTTGGAGAATGATAGTTATAATAATAAATAAAAATTTTAGAATATTTTAGTTGGGATTTATTTATTTATTTATTTAAGCTCAATTTGAAAAGAGTACAAATACAAATATGTACAGTCTAAATACATACTAAATAATACAAAATACAAGATTTTACACTACATATTTGTATTTATAATCTTTCCAAACTGAGCCTTATGAGCAATGTTGCCAAGACAAATTGCACAAACAATTTTTCTGTGCAAGAACTCTCAACCAGTCTGATCTGCTTGAGATCTTGGTGTTAGATGGGCTCCACTGATAACAAACAAAATGTGGTCTGGGTTTTATTAGATTATAAATAAAAATAAATATAATAGTATTGCCACATCAATTATGGACACTTCATAAGACTCAATGCTAATGTATTTAACTGTATAATTTCTTCTATATCAAGGTGCAAGTTGGTATCCAACATAAAGAATTTAGACGGCATCAGGCTCAGTCCCTTGGGCCGGGCCCATTCAATTTTTTTTTTTAACGAATTCTCATCTTAAGCCTGCCCAAGTTGTAGCCTAACCACTATAAGATCTCCCCTTTTTAAGTTTTCACCCAAAATCCAAAGGCATATAGCTCCTGTGGAAGTAACTTAACTTGCGGTAAATGGTCTCTGCAACAAAACTTTCTCTTTTAGTTCCTTCTTTGTTCTTTCCTCTTTGGGTGGGGATATGGTGTTAGTCTGCCATGAATGTCTCTAATTCATGCACCCAAGCCATCATTTCCGGATGAGAGTGTCCTTGGGGAATTTTTAGTTTCTTACAAAGGAGGAATTGATTCTTTCTGGGGCTGATGTCAAAGCTACATAACCCAATAAATAATTGCTTTTTAATGTGATTACACAATAGGGGTAGCACATTAGGGCTGTTAATGGGTCGGGTCTACCTGATAGACATTAACCACTAACAGTTTTAATTATATGGTTTTGTTCCGATTAATAATTGGGTCGATTTCGGTTCTTTACAGATTATTTTATTAAATATATAATATTTTTTTAATTTTTTTATAATTGTTATCATATTTTATGTTTGAAATGATAAATTTAATAGATAATAAATAAGAAAAATGTTAGTTAAAAATATTTAATTTATTAACATATAAATGATTTAATAAATTTCTATCATTTTTATTAAAGTTATATTATCAAAGTTTAAACTTTAAGTTATTATTTAAATAAGCAAATTTAGTTTTTAGTATAATTGGATCTATTGGGTCTGGACTCTATAGACCCAATCGACAATTAACTGGGACGATTATGGGTCTGTGGTTTTGTCCTGATTAATAATCGGTTTGGGCTTGATTTTACTTGGACCCGACCTCTTGACAGCCCTATAAATCATCCCGGATTTGATCACGTCTCGGCTGCAATTAAGGTTCAAAGTATTGACACGCATCGATGCATATCATACAATATCTATTGGTTCTTGAATCTATCGATGCATTAAACAATGAGAGAAAAAGAAAGCCCATTTTCAGTCATTAATAGGGTTGTTCATAAGAAGACCCAACCCGACCAAACCGACCAACCCGGACTGACTCAACCCGAGTCGGTCGGGTTTTCTTCAGTATCAATCAGTTTCGGGTTGTAAAAAACCATAAACCGATGGTTCGGGTCGGTTTCGATTTTTATATATGAAAATCAAAACCGACCCGAAACGAACCGACTTAGTAGTTAGTAGTTACAACCTACTTAACTAAGTTGTCTCTATCCTAGTTACAACCTAACTTAATTTCTAGTCTTCTARTTAGGAATGACATTAATGGCAAGTATTGTAAGACAACTAGACAAGGAATTTTTTTTGAAAAGTTTAAAGAAAAGAATCAAAGGGTCCTAGTTTTTATGGTCTTTTACACCAAATAGGCAAACAATTACAATTAGAATTATGTGTCATTTTTTACTTAGATTATAAGGTTTCTTGAAATATACAAATTTCAGTCTTCTTTCTCTAATACAATTTGACTTTCTATTTTCTTGATAACTTCTATCCTAACTTGGTCTACACCCCTACTAATTTCAGTCTTCTTTCTCTAATAGAATTAGGTGTCCTTTTTTACATCAAATTTCAGTCTTCTTTTTCCAATCTATCAATTTATTACCATGGTTGAACTTAGAGCCGAAACCGACTCAACCTGACTCAAACTGACCAGGTCGGTTTTGCTTAACACAGGGTCGATTTCGGTTTCAATTTCAGGTAACCCGATCAGGTCAGGTCGGTTGAAAAAATCTCAGTAAACCGACCCAACCTGACCCATGAACAGCCCTAGTCATTAATAAGCTTCAAACCCAATCTCTTTTGAGTCTTGCAACCTGGAAACAAATCCATCTAACTATTGATCTTTTGAATCATGTGATACACAATTTTTGTGTGTTGTGCTTATTGATACTTTAAACCTTGTCAACAAGCCAACAAGCCCACAACCACAAATACCTTATTAACTGAGGTAGTTGATATTTAATAAATTCATGCATGGAAGCTAGTTCTTTTCCTTACAATTTAAATTTCTTTTCTTCTTTCTTTTTCTTCCTTATCTGTAAGGGCCAGCCTTGCATTTGACGTTGTAACCTAGAATTTTGAGAATCGGGACTATTCCTCACGGAACACACCTTACATAGACCTCACAACCCCATCTCCCTATAAATAACAATATAAAATATTGGAGATATTCTCAATACACAGTAGGATGGGGATGTGAAGTCCGTGTGAGATGCACTCTGTGAAAAGCAGATCCCAACTCCAATTTTAACATCACATGGAGGGGAATCAATGGTGTGTCACAAGACTTTATTTAGTGGGAAGAAATGGTCAGATGCACTGGTATGGTTATTAGTGCCGTCAATGGGTCATGTCTGGTCCGGGTCAGGGTAGGCCTGGTCCGACCCAATAAGTAAATCTAAGAACCAATTCTGATCCATGTTGTATATGGACTATAATTGGGACTACTGGGGTCTGATCTTATAACACTCAATTATAATCGACAGCCATGCTTTTAATCTCTAGTTGACAATAAGTAAGTCATACTTTTAACGTGTTGATCATGATAATGTATTAGGGATGCAAATGGATTGGATTGGATTTGAATTAAAGTATATCTGAATTCGATCGGATCTGATAAATATGGATATAAATTCAAATTCAATGAGGAAGTCAGATTTTTGGCTCTGACCCGATTCAGTCTAATTTAAAAAATAAATTATTAAAAGAAAATAAAATTTAACAATTTAAATAAAGTAAAACAAAAACTACAAGTATCTTTTTAACTATTTTCATCATATATAAATATGTTTTTTATAAAAATAAATAATATAATAAATTTACAAAAATACAATATAAATGATATATTTATAAATAAATAAATAAATAACATATAAATTGAAATAGATAATCGGATAATGATACATTCCATTTGCACTCCTATAAGGGTTAAAGTAATTTGAAATAAATACTTAAAAAATCAAAATTTCTTTGAAGATACCCTAAAATCAAGTATGTGTCTCTTAATTGGAAATTGGAAAGAGGTGATTTTATGTAGCCGTGTCTTCCTCAAAGGTATGAGATGGATTATGGGAAATGGAGAAAACATTTTGTTTTGGATGGACAATTGGACTGACAAAGGTATGTTATTATAGCTGTTGAACCTAAGTGAGCTTAACAGTAATGTCAATGAGTGTTATGATCCATCTATTATGAGTTGGGATCTCTTTGGAACCCCAATAAATATTCTCACAAAATAAGAAATATTCTAGAAAGTTTTTTTCTCCCAAATACAAATATGAATGACGAATTGAAATGGGTCCGAGTGGGGAATTCACTATCAATTTGGCAGCCTGGCTTCAAGCTGATGTAAGTAATGAGAATGAACAGGTTTTAATTATGAAGTCTTTTGTCAGAAAATTGAAAATTCAGTCAAGAGTGAAAGTCTTCCTTTAGGCTATGTTTGGTTTGAAGGAAATTGTAAGGAAATCTTTACAAACTCTGTGTTGTTTTTGTGTCTTTCTCTTCC